TTTTCAACACTGCAGGTTACCTGGTGTAATGTTTTTCAGCTAAAAAGAAACATGGTCTGACTCCTACCTAACTATATAAAGATTAACTGAAGGTTAAATGCACCTCCGCCTCTGTTTGTAACCTTCACTAACACTATTTTTGTACTTTGCAAAGTTATGAAACCTGAGAGAAACTCTTCAAATAAGCCATTTAGCATTACCATCACAACCACTCTTTCAAGAATTTTTGAGATAAAAGGAAGGTTGGAGATAAGTAGCCAAGAAAGCTGGTCAAGTGATGGCTTTATAAGTAGTGGTTCAATTACTGCCAAATTGAAGGCCTGTGGTATAGAGTTGATTAACAGTCATATTTAAAACTGAAGCATGAATTAATAATGTAATGTAATGCTCTGTACATTTGAACTGATGATTTATTACCTTTTTTTTAACTGAAAAAGCCATAAAGAACAACAACAAAAGTGGTATTTGAACAGCCTAGAAGTCAGAAATACTTTGCTAAATGGTATTATACAAGTATAATGTTTCCGTGCTTTTCATGAGTACTTTCTTGAGTCACTGGTATGTACATACGGAGTGCCACTTTATAAAGTCAACAGAGTATGCGCTTCAGCGTCACAGTTCATTTAATATTTTCAGCTTGTCCCCTGTTATGTACACACACCACACCTGGCATGAAGTCAAAACCTTGTTCACATGTAAATGTACAATAAGTTCCTGCTTTGTCCCTTCTAGTGCTATTAATCTGATAAAGCCTGCATCATTCTAGGTGCACCGTTTTAGGTGTGTAATACGCCCCAAAACCAAACATTTTTTCCTTTTTTCCTTTACAAGACATTCAGCCCTGTTTACTTGGTCATTGTTTGCCATCTCATATCAGCATAGAAACTGAACTACAACCTACGCATACTGTGTCACTGGGTATAAGAGCTGTGGTTGTAAACCCTGTCCTAGTCTTCAATTTCAGACGTCGCTTTCAGGAGCCAGATATTAACTTCAAGTGGACTCCAAATTTTCCTACAAATCAAGGTAGTTTAAACTCATCCTACTAACTGATTTCCTTTATATCTGATTTGGGCTAAACTCTTAATCAAGAAAGATCTCATTGTTTTTGGTTGGAATAAAATCTTAAGAAGCTTTCACAACACAGATTTGGATATATAACATTTGTTATAAAGAAACTGTGTAAAAGTGTCTCAAAAGTTCTATAAACAAGGAAATAAACTGGTAAAGTAAGTGACCTTCATGTTTAATTTGCTCCAAGTTATTTTTCTTCTTCTTGCAGCCATGGAATACCAGACAAATGTGATAAATGCACAACCTCAGGTGACTGTGACACAGTACACGGTCTCCCGTGGGTCGTCAGAGTGGAGTACAAATGCATGCGACTGCTGTGAAGACTGCGGCATCTGTACGTGTCTATATAAGTTTTATGGGAACATGCTGAAGTTTACCAACAGTGTAACATAACAGAAATATGATAAAACATCTCTCACCTCCAGGTCTTTGTGGAACATTCGTTCCCTGCATCCTGGCTTGTCAGGTGGCTCAGGACAGCGATGAAAGCTGCTGTCTGGCCTGCCTTCCCGGCGCCCTGATTGCTTTACGGACAAGCATACGCAACAGATACAATATTGGTGTAAGTGTGCTGCAGATGTCTAATCGTTTATTAAACAAGAAGACTAGAATTCTAATCATGAATTCAATCATGAAGTCATACAATTCTCTAGAATTCTAATCTAGATGGTGTTTTATATTACATTTTTGAAATCCCAGCACTCTAAATATGGTTCTATAAAAAAAAAACTATGATGTTTGTCACCAGTTTACTGTGACTGTGCTTTTCCTCAGGGCTCTGTGTGTGACGACTGGTTAGTCATGGCCTGCATTCCAGCATGTGGATTATGTCAGATGGCACGTGAGCAGAAGATAAGAGGAAACTGAAAATATACACATATATACAATATATGATATCCTCAAAGTATCAAAGTAAGATAATATGTGACTGTATTTCTTCAGTTTCTGTATCTTAAATTAAAATGTTAAAAAAAATGGCATAGACATATTGTAGTAAAGCTAAAGGATTTGATAAGAAATAAAGTCAGATAACTGGACTAAACTGACAATTTCATGTTTTTCATTGTTTATTCTATAGTTTAATAGGATTACATAGTATATCTGTTATATTTGAAATGTGAGCTCTGAGTCTTAGAATAAGGCTGAAAAACCCCACATCTTTCACTCAAAGTTCAACAGCGACTCATTGTGCTGACACCAAGTTTGTGCAACAAATCAGCGAAAAAATCTGACGGATATGTGGGAATTTGCAGCACGAGTAACTCTTAACCACCCTTAAAACCCCCAAAACAAAACAAAACAAAAAAATAAAAATCAACCAGTTTATGGTGGTAAACTCAAATAACTATCATCATCATTTCTGAGAACTTTTTTACTACCTACAATATAATTCAATAATGTTCACAATTTTATATTTTTCTTTTTTTAATGTTTAAGATAATTGTGTTAAAAATACGTGATTTATAGATGTCTGAATGCAAATTGTATATCCACTCAAAAACAATATTTCAATAAAACTATTGGAATTAATGTGTTGTGATTAAATAGTTGAACACAGCTGTAAAGGATTATGAAAGAAGAAGAATACGTTGGAGACATCTTCCCCTTTCTGACTGTTTTATTTTTGGCTGACCATGTACTTCAGAGCTGTCTAAAGCCACAGGGTGAGGCGAAAAGCATTAATCTAAGTACAAATTAGAGTAACTTATAACTTCAAACTATCAGGACATGTTTTCAGTTTTCCTGGGGAAGTTTGAGGAATGACATCAATATTATAAAGTTATGCTTATAAAGGGTGAATCTTAAAAGTGGCACGCATTACATAAAAAAAAAATTCTGAAAACTATTTCGCAACTCTTTCTATACATTTTATTTTTATAGACAGCTTCCTCTTTCTGACTCAATGTTTTTGCAGGCACCAAAAACAAAGCTGTCTGAGAAGGCAGGAAAAACAGCATTAATTTAAGTAAGTACAAATTAGATTAACTTCACATATCATGACATTTTCAGTTTTCAGTTTTCATTTCTTGGGATCGTCTAAGGAAAGGAAATAAATGTTATCTTATTTGCAAAATCATAAGAATTTATGTTTGTAAAGGGTGAAAATTAAACATTATACATAGGAAAGAACCTAATTATTTTTCAACTCTTTCTATGCATTTCTTTTATTGTTCTAAAATTATTGATATCGTGATTTTTGCCATTTATTGCATTCCTGTAGTATTCAATTAGGAATTCGTTGCTTTTCAACATTGTGCATTGTGTGGACCGCAATGACGTGAGAGAAACCCTAAAGAGGAGGAGAAGGGCAAACATTCATTTATATTGAAAGTGGATGTGAAAACATAAGAAAAGAGGAACAAAGTTTTTCTCATCGTATAAATTTCTTCGGGGACATGCTCCTCACACCTCAGGATTGGAAGATTCTTTTATGCTGAGACTATTCCTAGAGACTCGCAACTGCTTCTAATAAGAAACGGTAACAGCAACAAGAAAAGGTAAGAATCTGAGCTTGGGTTAGTAATATCTAGTCTAAATTAAAATGTCAGTTGAAGGCAGCAGGCTCCAACAACCATGATGGGTGTCATGTATACTGTTTCTACAATATTTTAAAAATTATTAAAAATCAATCAGATATACAATGCTAGTTTGTCAATTTACGTCTTTATAATGTTTAAATGTACTTGTACTTGGGGCGATCGTGGCTCAAGAGTTGGTAGTTTGTCTTGTAATCTGAAGGTTGCCGGTTCGAGCCCCAGCTCGGACAGTCTCGGTCGTTGTGTCCTTGGGCAACTTCATCTACTGCCTACTGGCGATGGCCAGAGGGGTTGATGGTGCGATATGGCAGCCTCGCTTCTGTCAGTGTGCCCCAGGGCAGCTGTGGCTACAACTGTAGCTTGCCTCTACCAGTGTGTGAATGAATAGTGGAATTGTAAAGCGCTTTGGAGGGTCTTAAAAAGCACATTATTATTATTGTCAGATTTTAAGAGACAGCTGAAAACATCAATTATATACCTAAAGCAAGAATTTGCAATCTGATATTAGAATTTTTTTCTGATTGGAAAGTATTCTCTTTTCAGATCCCTGCATTCACCTGATGAAAAAACACAGAGGCCTTTAAACGTTTTCAACTTAATATTTAAACAAACGAAACGAAAAAAGGAGCCGACAGAAGTTATTTAAAGGACTATTTCTTTGCACTGCAAGAAGACAAAATGGGAAACCTAACTCATCAGCTGCTGTCAGTTACAGTTGTTCTTGCAGCTGTTCAACTCATCAATAGTTACAGTTTCAGGAACTGCATTGCAGAAGCAGATTCTGATGGAAAAACTTTCAACTGCATGCATCGGAATGCAATGCATATTTCTGATATTGTCAGTGACCTGCCACCATCTGCCATCAATCTCACCATTTTAAGAACTCGTCTGACTGACCTTCCTAACAACAGCTTTAGTAACCTAGTAGACCTTCAGCACCTCAGAATTGATAATTCCTTGACAACCATCCGTCAGTTAGCTTTCCGAGGCTTGTATCAACTGAAGACTCTAAACATGTCATTAAACAATATATCAGAGCTCAACCCTTCTCTGTTTAAGGACCTGCAGAATCTCACCTCCCTCTTTATGGCCAACAATGCATTGAAGCAGCTGCCCGAGGATATTTTTTCATCTGTTCTCAAACTACACACTTTAATCTTGAGACAAAACTTTCTGTCAGATTTCTCAGGCATTGCTAAGTCTGTGGCACATCTGACAAATCTGACGACACTGGATCTTTGCGTTAACAAGTTGACCTCTCTCAGACACTCAAATGTGTCACTGCCCCAGTCCCTCACTGCTTTGTATGTTTGCAAAAATAATCTATTAACGCTGGGATGTAATCCTTCATTTCTCAGCTTTATCAACATTTTAGATTTGTCAAACAATTCTCAGCTGCCTACAAAAGCCTTTGATCAAATTGATTTGAGCACTATAAATTATTTGCGTTTGCGTTCAACAAATGTAACAATAGTGGAGTTTTTAAACATTAGCAACATCAATCCAAGTCATGTTGATTTCTCTGGTACAGGACTGAACAATGACAGCATGCTCAAAGAATTATGCATACTGTTGAAAAAAAGGCTGAAAGAGAAAAATCTTAAATATATGAACCTGACTAATAATGCAATTAGGCAACTTACAAATAACACACTGTCCTATTGTCCTAATATCACAGGGGCTTTGGATCTGTCCCGCAACAACCTAAAGAGTGCATATTGCCTTGAGTTTCTTAGAAGACATGTATACATAGAAGACTTCAAAGCAGAGCACAACCATCTCAGCTCCCTAAAATACTGTAAAACAATGTTTCATTTAGAAAAAATGGAAAATCTGAGTTATCGTTACAATCGCATCTTAAAAGTTGACTCTCATGCTTTTTATCATACACCAAATATCAGGACGCTACAACTTAACATAAACAGTATTGCATTTCTCCATAGACACGCTCTCAAGGGACTAAAAAAGCTCGAGACACTTCGTTTAGACAATAACCTCTTAACTGATTTGTTCGATGTCACATTTGAAAATCTGGTCAGTTTGAAAATTCTTAACCTTCGCAACAACCGCATTTCTGTCATTTTCAATGGGACTTTTTTCAACCTGACATTTTTAAATACACTGGATCTTGGAGGTAATAAGATTACCCATTTTCAGCGATCGGGTCTTGATGGACTAAAAAGCCTGTCCAAGCTCTATCTAGATGGAAACCAGCTAAAACAAATTGACCCTTTCTTATATCATGCATTTCAAGACACCCTCACTGTGCTAGATTTACAGAGTAATCAGATTTGCTTCATAACAGAAACTCATGAGTCACCATTCATGAATCTCAGCAGACTGACTGATCTGAAATTAGATCGGCAGCGACCTAACGGACTCACCGTTTTACCACGCACTTTACTACGTGGCCTCTACTCACTGAAATCTTTGTATCTCACCAACAATAACATATACCATCTTGCTCCTGATACCTTTGATGACCTAACAGACTTAAGTTTCCTCACACTGGATAACTGCTGTGTTGGGGTGAAAAAATTAGAACCAGGGGTCTTTAAAAATCTAAGAAATTTGACCAGATTGGCTGCAGAAAATATGGGCATTCAGAACTTCTCCAAAGAGGTTTTTGGGAATCTTACACAGTTACGTTTACTGCAGCTCAACCGCAATGCCATGCAGACTCTTTCTGTAGACGCATTAATGAGTCTACCTATGCTTCGTTACCTTGACATACGAGATAATCCTGTAAGCTGCACCTGCAACAACGGGCCTTTGCAAAATTATACAAATAATAACACAGATGTTCAGGTGGTGTACCTGTACAACCTGTCATGCCAACACAATCCAAAACTCAAATTTTACAATTTTGACACTAAAGTTTGTCGCGGAGATATAGGAATATACCTGTTTTTTAGCACATCAGCTGCAATCTTCTTGTTTACAATCATTCCCTTATTCTATGTTAAACTCTACTGGAAAATGAAGTACAGCTACTATGTGTTTCGGGCCTGGTTTAGCGAGCAGTGGAGCAGACTCCATGAGGAGGAGGAGAATTGTAAATATGATGCATTTATTTCCTATAACTCATCTGATGAACAATGGGTCATGGACCAATTGTTACCCAACTTGGAGGGAGGTGGATCATCTTTTAAGCTTTGCCTGCACCACAGAGACTTTGAGTTGGGCCGTGATATTGTGGACAATATTGTTTCTGCTGTATACAGCAGCCGGAAAACCATTTGTGTGGTGAGCAGGAATTTTCTGCAAAGTGAGTGGTGTTCTCTGGAAATCCAGCTTGCCAGTTACAGACTCTTTGATGAGCACAGAGAT